CCATGTTTTATTGAATAGGCAGTAAATCGCTATTAAAAAAAAGAATTCGCTATTTGAAAAAATTAAAAAAGATATAAAAAGGGAAAAAAATAAATCCACAATGGATTTTGATTGGTCGATCAAATGGGTCTCATCGCGCAACTGCAAAAACAGAAATGTATCGAAATTCAACATTCTGAATGGACCAAAATCAATAATAGCTACTTACCGCCCGGTTAAAAGAAAAATCAGTAGGTCTCAATTCGAGGTGTCCATTTACCAATAGAGCGCAGTTGCTACATACCGTCAACACTCTGAAAGAACGTCATCCCTAACTTTCAACTTTGAGAAAATGTATCTAGGTTGATGTAAAAGATATAAAAAAGTGATCAACTACAAAAATGTTTATCATAATATCAGCAACATTTTATCAGTTAACCAATTTTTACTATCTCTCACAAAAAATGAGATACATAAGCTCAATTTTACCGATTCGGTTGGCGTTCTACTAGAGTGTTCACGGTAAATAAAAAAAATATTATCCTGAAATCCGGAGAATTCAAAAATTTAAAAATTTATATGGTTCGCATTAATCATCTTCATTAATTTTTTAGACATTTTTTTTTGCAAAATTTGAGTCACAATAAAATTTTTTTGATGTCAGGATTACTATACAAAAATATATAAATGGGGCAAAAAGAGACACAGACAGACGGTATGAAAGGAAAAAAAAGACATCGGGAATTCGAGAAAAATATATAATTTTGATAGGAAAAAAACAAATGGAAAGAGAAAGAAAAATTAGGAGGAGAAGGCCCGCAAAAATGTTTTTTTTAATGAAATTGTTGTACCCTGAATATTTGGTGTTCGGAATAGAAATTTGTGGATTTTTTTCTGAGATTTTCAGATTGCTCAGTATTAAACAAAAATATAAAAAAAGCGAGAGATTAATTATCAAACTGAAACATCCGAGTAGCTTCTTTCGAAATGTTGATGAATCGGTGCCATGTCGCTGTTCGATGGCTTCTTGAGCATTCGACGGAGACGGGAGATTTCGTCGTTGGCACGTTCCAGCTCTTCGGATAGAACACTTTGGCTGAAACTTTGGGAAACGTTGAGACAAGATAGTTACTAGCTATATTATAATTAGTCACTGGTGAAATATCAGAACGTCTTTATCTGGAGTCAAATTCCGTAATTTTGATCTCAATTTTTTCAGTTCCTATGAGAGATGTCAAAAAACTGTCAACTGATAAATTTGTTATCACAAGGTTATAAGTATTTTATAAGTTGACAAAGTTTTGACATCTGTCGAAACCGAACCGAGATAATTGCACTCAAAAATTATAGTAGATCCTGTTACAGAAGAGCCCCCATACTGTAAAGTTTGAGCTCAATTATATCAGCAATTATATCAGTTCCTATCAGAGATATCCAAATCAGAGATATCCAAACTGATAAAACAATGATGATATTATGATAATCAATTTAACCGTTGTTAGATTTTCGATATCGCTCATAGGAACGAAGATAATTGAGCTTAAAAATCACCATATAGCCTGTTATAAGAGTTCCCCCATACTGTCAAGTTTAAGCTCAATTATCTCAATTTTCGTAAAAATAATCGAACATTTGTCAACTGATAAATTGATTATCATAATATCACCAAAATTTTATTAGTTAAATATTGTTTTGATATCCCTCATAGGAACCAAGATAATTAAGCTTAAAACGCACCTAAAGAGTGAGCCTCTATCAGAGAATCAATGATCAGCTGATGAAAATTCTTTTCTACTCACCGATCCTTCAACTTCTTGATGTCAGTCTTGCAGGAAACGTTTTGTCTCAATAAATCTGATTTTTCAGTTTGAAGACGCTGAACATCAACACATAACGTCTCCAGACGTTTGGCATCTGATGACGTGGCGTTTTGGAAGTCTTCTACGCAAAATGTGCACGAGGAGGCGCGAGTCTGGTTGGAGAGCTCAGTGGACGACATCGATTCCATTCCAGTGTCCGAATCGTGTTCGTTGTCTGGTGACTCTTGGGAGGAGATGTCCCAGTCGGTTCTGAAAATTAATAAAATTTGTTGAATGAAGAGAGAATTTGATTTCTAGGGGCTTGGAGCTTTAAAATGACACTACAGTATGACCTGTAATAGAAGGGCTCCCACCCTGTCAAGTTTGGTCTCAATTATATCGGTTCCCGTGAGAGATATCAGAAAATTTTCAACTAATAAATTCTTTATCACAATATGACCACTATTTTATCAGTTGTCAAACTTTTGATATCTCTCACAGGAAAGGAAATACATGGGCTCAAAGTTGACGGTTCGATTCTGCTTTGAAAAAAGGTATATTAACTGCTGAATAAGACTATGAGACCAACCCTTACCTTCCATAAGTTTTCGGCACATCATCTCTAATTGGGCTGTGTGTCCTTGCCGACGCACTAGAGCTCGTCGACGAAACCGATTTCTTGGGACGAGTGACCACATTGATCGTGGCGGCTCTGTGTGGGACATGCGACGCCTCTTGCGACACCGAACGACTCCTTCCGATGAACGCCTTCTTAACCGAGTTCAAAATTCCACTTCCATACGACGACGTCGAGTGGCTATCAGATGAAGACGTGGACTCCAAAAGTGGCGATGAGTAGAATTCGGAACGCTCCTTACACGTTGCATACAGCCCATCGAGAAGGGATCCACGGGTACGTTCGGCGAGTTTCGCGAACTTTGAGCTCTTGTAGGCGGCGTTCTCGGCGTTGATGAGTTTTGTGAGCAAGAAGTTTCGGAAGTCGGTATGATGCATGTAGACTGGTGGATTTGGAAGGGTTGGTCCGAAGAAAGGGACATCGTCACGAGCGGCAACGGCTACTCGGTATCGGACTTTGTCGGTCAGTGCGTCGATTGGTTGTACCTGGAAATTCAAAACTTTGAATTATTAAAGGTGGGGGGACATGAAAAAAATAATGTTCTCGAAATTCCGTTCAAAAATGCCCCTCGAGGAGTTGAACTTGTGAGGGCGATGATTGAGGGTGCGGCGCCGCTACCGACTGAGCCACGCGGGCAAAGAGAAAGCGCACGCCCGATTGCATACATAAAGGCGAGGACGACAGCTGTACGCAGAGTGAAATTAAGCGTTGTACACCGTGACGGTAGAATGCATACCCTAGCTACAAAAAAACTACGAAAAATCTCCTGTCCCCCCACCTTTAATATCAGAAATAGATAGTAAAAATCCTAACATCATTGGATAGTGGCTCAAGATTTCATACCGAGAAACCTGATTGTCAAGTTTGAGCTCAATTATCTCGGCTCCTACAAATGATATTTAAAAAATGTCAACTGATAAAATATTGTTGATATTATGGTGAACAATTTATCAGTTGCCAACTTTTCCATATATTTTACAAGATACGAGATAAGTTGGCTCAAAGTTAAAACTTTTCAATGGGAATCATGAAACGCTGAATTTTCAAAATCCACTCACCACAACATAAGCGTGCAAGAAGTTGGATGCAATCATATCCGGAGCGAATGGAGTGTTGGCCTCCTGGAAGATGATCGCCACGATGTCGTTTCCAATGTGGCGCTTTCTCTGAAGTTGCTGAGCATCGCCAATGGTATACGGTAGCATTGTGGACACGTGGAACATGACTTCTCGATTGTGGAATTGAGTGAACACCGATTGGTGACCGGTCTGGTTGTGGACAGTGTCGAGTCCACCGCGATATTTTTTGAATCCTTGAAGCGGTACAGTATCTCCCAACAATGACAAAAACTCTGCAAACGCCGGACTTCCTTGTGGATTTCCAAACAATTGCTCCTCGGTGGTCTGTCCTCCTTTCTGATAAACAACTCCAAATTTATACGTATTCGTCAAAATGTGCTCATCGTAATTCATAACCAACTCCTGTCCTCCAGGAAAGGCGATTGGTGAGAATTGCTCTGTGGTAATCTCCTCGCAAAGCACTTTTGCCATACGGGCGGCGGACGGGCGGTCGGCCAGCGCGGCGGCCGAGATGATCTTGTTGGTGGTGCCTTTGCGAGTTCGGAGAATGATGTTGAAGGCGTCAGCAGAGGAGATCTTCTGAGCCTGGACACTAAGGATTAGGGGACCAACAAGTGGATCGTGGGCAAAGAAGTCGTGATGCTCCTGAATTAAAAAAAAATTTTTTTTTTGAAATTTTTTGCCTTGGAACCTACATTTGGCATAAACTGCTTTCTGTAGACATGACACGACTCGTCAGTTTCCAGTTTGAACCTCTCGAAACTGTTGAATGGGTCCCGGGCCTTGGCCTTATCCAAACTGATATCTGATGACCATCCTGATGGGTGAGAGCTGACGCCGTCCATCCAGAATCCACTGGCGGGGAGCACGATTTGGGGGTATGGACCAACGTGATTGAGCATCTGAAAGTAGGGGGAGTTAGAGAGAGTTACTATAGTGGAGCCCAAAAACAGACATGAATTGAAAACTTTGAATTCGCATAATTTTTTCTCTTAGGACCTGATTTTTGAGCTATTAAGAGTTTTTGACCAATTTTTTGAGCTATTGACACACTTTGATCCATTTTGCAAGCTATTAAAACATTCTGACCCATTTGTTGAGCTATTAAAATATTCTGACCCATTTGTTGAGCTATAAGAATATTCTGACTTATTTCTTGAGCTATTAGAACGTCCTGACCCATTTTGTGAGCTATTAGAACTTTTTGGTCTACTCTTTGAGCTATTAGAATTTTCTAACTCATGTTTTGAGCTATTAGAATACTCTGACCCATTTTGTGAGCAATTAGAATGGTCTGATAAACTTTTTGAGCTATTAGAGCGTCCTGACTCATTTCTTTGAGTTATTAGAACGTCTTGACCCATTTTGTTGAGCTATTAGATCACTCTGACCTATTTTACGAGCTATTAGAACGTCCTGACTCATTCTTTCAGTTATAAGAATATTCTTACTTGTTTTTCGAGCTATTAGAAAATCCTGACCTATCATTCAAGCTATTAGAATGTCCTGACCCATTTTCCGAGCTATTAGAACGTCCTGATCTATTTTTTGAGCTTTTAAAACAAGATGACCCATTTTCGGAGCTATTAGAATTTTCTAAAATATTTTGTGAGCTATTAGAATATCCTGACCCATTTTGTGAGCTATTAAAATCTCCTGACCCATTTTATGAGCTATTAGAATAGTCTGATAAACTTTTGGAGCTATTAGAATATGCTGAGCCATTCTGTGAGCTATTAGAATATCCTGGCCAATTTTTTGAGCTATAGAATAGTCTGATTAACATTTTGAGCTATTACAACATTGTGACCCATTTTTTGACCGATTATAAAACCCTGGTCCATTATTCAAGCAATTAGAATGTCCTGACTTATTTTTTGACCTATTAGAACATTGGGACCCATTTTTTGAGCTATTAGAACGTCCTGACTCATTCTTTCAGATATTAGAATTTCCAGAATTTTGTACTTTTCATTCTTTTTTGTATTCTCCTCCAAATTTCATCCTCAACCAGTTCGTAGTTTTTTTTTTCCTAATTTCCTCTTTTTACTACACGAAATGCAAACAGACAATGATGGTTTGTGTCCACTTTTTTCTCACTACTATTTATTTTCTCTTTGTGTATCCTAAAAGAGGAGTGGTGTGGTCAAAAAAAATTTCAAACCTCATTCATCGCATTTCTCGTCAATTGATTCGGATTCACTTTTTGATGAGTCTCCGCGACGGGTCCACGAGTCTGAAATTTATAAAATTTTCGGTACAAAATTTGGGAAAATGGGGAAAAATCCCGGTGAAAATTGGATGATTTGAAGTCAATTTTTTATTTTTTTTCCCGCATTTTTTGGTAGATCAAATCTATTTTTTGGCATTTTTAGACCTATCCTGAAATGCTTACAGAAATTTCATGTAGCGAAACTGTCGACGAGATCAGGGTGGGCGGTCCCACAACATTTAGATCCCTCTTCTGCACCGCCTTCTTCGCCATCAAGTTATGAATCAACTCGAGTGGTCCTTTGGAGTGTCTTCTGGATTTAGACGACGTCAGCGATTCTGTAGACGTGCATCGCCAACGTATCGCTTGTGATGACGTGGCGTGCTTCATGTTCTCCATGGCTTGAAGTAGCTTGTCAGCAGCCATGAGCTTGAACTCATCCTCCTTGTTCAGCTCGAAACATGACGCTCTTCTAGACGCCATTGAGATTCTCGAGCATGATGACGTGGAATTTTCAGAAGATGTGGAAGAATCAGAAGACGTGCCGGTGGATTTCAAGTTGTATTGCGATGAGGCGTGACGAAGAGGCGCCAACCGTCGGACCACTGGCGGAAGATGACGTGGCAATTCATCCAGATCATCATCCGATCCGGATGAATCAATGAAATGGAGCATTCGTCGTGGATGCGTAAGACGACGTGGTGACTGTAGCGATGGTGTAGCCTTGAAGACGTTGAAATGGTCGGGAGGTAACATATGTAGGACGGAAGGAAGAAAAGGAGGAAGAAGAATGAAAAAAAATGAACATGGTCAGAAAAAAGGAGATGGGCGGTATTTTTGGGCAAATAAATTATGATGCACCATGTACTACGAAAAGTGTTTGTTGTGTATTTTCAAGGGTGTGGAGGATGGGGAACGGCGGAAAAATGGAAGGATTAAATTTTTCAAAAGAATGTTACATTTGGAATATAGGGAATTCTAAAAAATTCAGATAGATTGGAATTATGAATACAAGAGAACCTTTAAAACCCATGGAAGTCTGAAATTCATAGTTCCGGAAAACGATAAGAAATTTCGGACGTCATGACGATCCAGAAAATTCAGAAATTCAGAAATTCAGAAATTCAGAAATTCAGAAATTCAGAAATTCAGAAATTCAGAAATTCAGAAATTCAGAAATTCAGAAATTCAGAAAATCAAAAATTCAGAAGTTCAGAAATTCAGAAATTCAGAAATTCGGAAATTCAGAAATTCAGAAATTCAGAAATTCAGAAATTCAGAAATTCAGAAGTTCAGAAATTCAGAAATTCAGAAATTCGGAAATTCAGAAATTCAGAAATTCAGAAATTCAGAAATTCAGAAATTCAGAAATTCAAAAATTCAGAAGTTCAAAAATTCAGAAATTCAGAAATTCATAAATTCAGAAATTCAGAAATTCAGAAATTCAGAAATTCAGAAATTCAAAAATTCAGAAGTTCAGAAATTCAGAAATTCAGAAATTCAGAAATTCAGAAATTCAGAAATTCAGAAATTCAGAAATTCAGAAATTCAGAAATTCAGAAATTCAAAAATTCAGAAATTCAGAAATTCAGAAATTCAGAAATTCAGAAATTCAGAAATTCAGAAATTCAGAAATTCAAAAATTCAGAAATTCAGAAATTCAGAAATTCAGAACCATCTATATTTTAATGCGTTCTATGTACTAACTAAAAAAGGGGGCGCGGAATCCCCTTTTTAGCATTATGTACCCATAAAAGATACTAGTAGTACATAAATCCCCCCTCTCACTTGTCTCAAGAATAAGAAGAAGTGCGTATAATGGGTCTTGGCATTCAGCCAACACATACACCCACACTCATTCATATACTAATAAATCATTTCTTCCGTTCCGCCCGTTACCGCGCGGAAAACGGACCACGGGCGGACCAACAACAACAATAACGTCTTCAGGACAGTTTTTCTTCTGAAGATGGAATAATTGGACGACAGGTGTCTTGGAAACAGAAATTTGGGAAGGAAATAAGGAAAACGGGAAGCCAGAAAAAAAGTGAAATTTAATTGAGAATCGAAAAACGACGGTCAAGTCAATTGGGGTGAGGTGAAAATAGGTGGCGGACATTTAGAGGACATCTGGATAGACAGACCTACAGATGGATAGGAACATTTTCAAAAAACTAGATTGTGTTAGTTGAAATCATACTGTTTCGGACCTCGAGATGCCTAGAAACATGGCTAGAGCTAATAGAAAAAATAGCTAGTGGTATAAGTTGCTGATAGAAAAACTTGCTAATAGCAAAAATTGCTAATAAGAGACTTGAAAATAGCATAGCGGCAGAAAACAACTAAAAAGAAGTCCTAGTATAGACCAAGAAGGATATTCTAGACAAAACTTGAACATCCGGACACAAAGATTTACAGAGAGACTACATTTTTTCAGCCAAAGGTCAAAAAATAAGGCTTTTACGGCTTTTTGAAGCCATATTTCAGGCTTCAAAGGTGTTTTTCAACAGGCTGAATAAAAAGTTCCGCCTGTTTTTAATAAAAGAAGACCCAACTGAATAATAACAAGTATTGGGGAACGAATATGTATGAATAAGCTCTTGTTTCCATGGAAATCAAGAGAGCTGCTCATTTTGTATTTTGTGTCTGGACCTTAATACCCCGATTAATCGGAGGCAATTTCGGAGTATTCTGAAGATGGGTATTCAGAATACCGCGTAAATGTATGTAGGCGTTCCGACCCCAGGAAATTAGAAATAAGGCAGGGAAGTTGGAAACTAGACGAAGATATATACTAGTAAGACATATCGTACAACTACGCCTACGCAGATGGAAATTATGGGAAAAATGACAAGGAAATTAATAAGAAGGAGTTTAAAAATGTTCAAAAAATGTGCTCCAGAAATTTTAATTTTTTCAAAACAAAAATTGGAAAAATCTGATTTTAAAACTCGAATTAGACCTAGACTTTTTAGAAGTTTGTCGGAAATTTCAAAAATTCGTAATAAGACAAAAATTTGACACCGGAATCTAATAGTTTCAAATCTAATGGAATCTCCTATCCAATCAAATCAAAATCATCGAAGTACGAATCCAAAACCAAAAACAGTTTGCATTTCTAATTAGAATGTATTATATGGAAAAGGTGTCCCCTCCTCCCAAGGACATTTATTAGAATTTCACCCCAACAGCATCGGTTTCTATACTAAATTAGAGCCCTTCCCTCTCTTTCAAGGACCTCCTTGTCCTCCGAAATCTTGGAATCTAACCTTGGGGAGAATGAGAAAAGGGGAAAAAATTGAGAAAATGAGTTATGGAGTCCATGGACAAGAAGATAATTATGAGAAATGGAAATTCTGGGAAAACGTTCACGTCTACAGTAGTCTAATAAGCCAGCCATTTTAGAAAATATCAGAAATTGGGATTTGTCTGAATTTCCAGAAAATTCTAAACTTCTGGAAATTCCAGGAAAACCTCAGTTTCATAAATTCCAGAAAATTCAAAATTCCTTAAATTCCTAAAAATTCCAGCAAATTAAAAATTGACACTCAAAGAATTGAGGAAATTCAAAATCAGAAAAAAATTGAAAAAAAAACATGCGAAAAAAAGGTCGAGACTGTCAAAAATCTGTCGCAGCAGAGACGAGAAAAAACAGCAGATATCGAGAAAATCGATTTTGGGACTTTCAAATTTTTCGCGGTTTTTTTTGGAATAAAAAATTTTTTGATCTACAAACCAAATCTAAATTTTGATCTACAAAATTTCAACTTTGAAATATTTATATTTTTCAAAATAGTTCTTCCCAATCGGGAATAGAAGGGCACTCCCACGTCAAGTATGAGCTCAATTATCTCGGCTCCTATAAGAGATATGAAAAATGTGTCAACTGATAAAATATTAGTGATATCATGATAAATAATTTACTAATTGAC